TGCAAATAGTTGGGGGGGGGGGGAGATTTTTTTTAATCTCCATTATCAAGGTTATAACACTTAAAATGAAAAATCTGAAAAAAGTAGAAAAAGAACAGAAATACAGGAATCTAAAACAAGTGAGATGAGTCTTGCAAAGAGTAACAAAAAAGTGGCAAATTCAAGTACCGCTGCTTCTGTGCAAGCAGCTCTGCTCTGTCTGACCTTAGCCTTGTGGGAAGCCTGGAGGCTTCAAAGCAGAAATCCTTGCTGCAGATTGTAGGGAATGGCTGCTTCTAAGGAGTGTAAACTAGCTTGCATTTGAGGCTGCAGGGGAAGAACTTAAAAATTCATAACTTTTGCTATTTCTGAGCACGTGAAAAAACTGCTGCCTGTCTGTATTTATTTTCTTCCAGGCTGGGTCCAGTACATGGCCTACAGGGATTCCTAAAACTCGTGGAAATTCTTGCAGCATTTCCATCACTTCAGCATTTAGAGTGAGTAATGCTAAAGATTAACTTTGCTAATGTTGCTTCTCAGCAGCCCTTGATGATGGGGGAGCTCACGTACCCAAGAAACATTTTATTTGCCAACAAGAGTACTTGCTTTGATGAACAAACTGAACAACAAAAACGTTCAGAGCATATAACTGCAGACTAAAAGCTAGCGCTCTTCATCTCCCTTAAGACACTTAGCAGTGGTTCGATACCCCCTCAGTCACTTCCCCATGTGTTCCTCAGTGATTAAAAGCTTGTGGGAAAGGTTTAGTTCGGAGCCCCACGGGGTGCTCCCCCTTTCTGCCACAGCACTGATCAACATTGCCTGCAGATTACTTATTTCTTTATTTAAGCTCCATAACATGCCCGAGCCCCAGGCTACCTCATGGTGAGGTTTCTGAGGGACTCACGGTTGTGTCTGCCCCAGGAGAGAACAGGCTCCCTCCTGAACCAGAAGCAGTGTTAAATTTGGGGGTTAACGTCAGTATTTGTGCCACTTCTGTGCACCTTGCGGTGTCAACGAACATCCTGAACTTCTGGTAGAACTTGTAAGAGATTGAGCTTTGTGGATTTGATTCATATAAAAGATATTAAAAAAGCCATACTCAGCTAGTATCTGGTTTTGTTCTGCCCATGTATTTTCACGCAGTCTTTGCCCCCTCCTAGAGTTTTAAGAACGCCAGTTACTATTTATTCTCTCATATCCATGACAAACCAGCTGTCTCTGAATTTTAAGCTTCTTTACGCTAGAAACAGTTGTAGCAACAATAGTCAATATTCTGCCGTCATCTCTGTGGGAAGATTACTGGGGTTTGAGAGGGCCTTTGACCTTACTGGCTCAGTCCATTGGCCATTTGTCTATATTGTATCTGGCCTTTTCATGATATTTTGGGAAGACAATAAAGCTCTAAAATTGAAATGAGTCCAATGTATCCCAGCATTGTCTGTCAGATTAGAAGGGGATCTAGTATCTAAAATTGTGACTATCTAAAACTCTCATCTGGATACCTGAATGAGGAAAAACTTCATTTCTAACACTCCCTATCTGGAGAAGGAGCTGTTTAGGCAGGGATTTACAGCATCTGCTGGATTTTGTCAGTTCTGAATTTCTGTGTGCACAGGAAGTCTCATTTCAGCATAGCTGGAACACAGCTATTTCATAACCATTTTAATAATCTTCAGTGTATGGTGGAAGCAAGGCATTGAGTGCTACCATTTGCATATCAAAGGAAATGGGTCAAGCCATTCAACTAGTGAAAAAAAAAAATTCTTACACTGTAAATTTGGGAAGCAGAAAGCTGCTTATTAGAGAAGCTGCAATTTGTGTGATGCTTCTTGCTGATTGAGGCTACTGCAGAGAAGGAGCTTCTCAAGATGTGTGGAGTGGTCTCTGAGGTGAATAAACCGTAAAAATTTAGATTAAAAGGGAAGCTAATTCTCTCTTTGTCATCACCCAGCCTTGATGCTCTGAGTGAAAATGGCATAGGAGATGAAGGAGCAAAGAGCCTATCTGAAGTCTTTCCAACCCTGACATCACTGGAAACATTAAAGTAAGTGCAAGGTTAACAGTTCTGGAAAATTTTGAAAAGAAATAGATTAAACCTAGAGCCTTAAGGGACTGTGTGTTAACAATTATGGGCACAACTGACCCGTGGGCATGGAAGACCAATGAGTCTATGGACATACTTAATCTGTACATTCGTTAGAGAAATAGGTTAGTCCTATAGCAATTCTTTATTTCCCCTCAAGGGCCGTAATTTGTCTTTTTCCCTGCATTTGGTCTAAACAGACTGACCAAATTATATAAAAAAGACATAAAAAATGAGTTTTCCCCACATTGTAATAAATTAGAATAAATGTGCTCAACTAACAAAGCGATCTCACTTACTGTAGCTTATCACAGAATAAGATAACAGATGTGGGTGCGGAGAAACTAGCTACAGCTCTTCCTTTCTTGTCTTCGTTAAAGACACTGAGGTAAGTAGTTGTAGCCTGTCCAGTTGTTTTGTACAACATAGCTTGCTATCTCTGTCAGAAATTACTGAACATGGAACAAATATATACACTGTGCAGCAGCCAAGCTTTTGACTTCATTCTTGCATAAAGCCTTTAGAGAGAAGAGTATGCATGTATGACCCAGTGTAGACATACAGAAGGATATCTCAGGAATATAACGAGGACTGTACTGATTTTTAAATCCAATCCGTAATACCCACTTATGAATAATACCTTGTACAAATGTCCACCCAGGGCTATGATCTACTGCAAGCTTATGCGGAGCTTGCTAAGCGCCGTGCTAAGCCCTAAGCCAGTAATGAGGTGATGTGTGTTTGCTGATATGGGAGCAATGGTCCATCCCACTTCATTAAAATGGCTGGCATAGGCCTGAATGAAGTGTCTCCGTAGGAAATGCTAGAAACCGTGGTGTGCAATTCTGGAATAATGTGCTCACGTGGAAATCTTTTGAATGCTGTCTCCCAAATCTTTGAACTTCATTTTCTTGCAGATTTTTAATTTGATCTAATGTAGACAGAAATGTTCTCGTTATTCATTAAGAATCTAGTCCTATTTTTGCTGTAGCTGTGCTAGCTGAAGAAGGGATGTGGCCATTTGCCTTACTTGATACAGAAAATATGAAACTGTGTTTTAAATATTAGCTGCAAATAGGGAAGGATAAATTGGAATTTAAGATGTACCAACCATATCTGAAATTCCTTGATCTAATATATAATCTGTTTACATTATCCATTGTTCAATTGTGACTATACCGGTTTGTTTTTCTGCAGCTTATACAATAATAGCATTTGTGATTTTGGAGCAGAAAATCTTGCGAAAGTTCTTCCTGCGATGACATCTTTAAGAGTGCTAGAGTGAGTACGAAATCTTTTGAGATGGCCCAGGAAAGCTTACTTGCTTGGATACTGAAAATTCAAATCTTCCATGCTCGGGGTAGAGGAGACAGAAGTTGAGGAAGAAAATTTCAGGGAAATTTCACAGGGAAAATGTGCTTATGCAGAATCCAGATAGTCAGTGGTTAGAAAGGATTAAGGAGCAGTTCACCATAAAAACCAAAAAATCAGTTTTAAGGTGGGAGAATAGGGTCATGGGGAGTTGGAGAAGGACCTCGGGTACATAGAATAAGGAATCCCTCAGATGAACTAACGTAATGAAGTTCCAGTTTGACCTTTTCAGTATTTTATTACAGGTTTTTTTAATCAAGGACCAATACTGTTTTTTTTCTCTCTTCCCCCATCTGCAGATAAGCCTATATAGTATTTTTTATTTTGAATGAAATGTTTGATTATACCGCTATATGATGTGATCTGGATTAACAAAGGTTGTTGGGTTTTTTTCCTCAGGGTTCAGTATAACAAAATAACTGGTGTTGGAGCCCAGCAGCTGACTGACAGCCTACGAAAATGTCCCCATATAAAGAACTTGGTGTAAGTCTCTTGATATGCTGTTTGCTGTATCTTTGTTCTGTAAATTGGGTTAGAATTCATGCTAAAGCTGTGTTCTGTATTTGTCAGATTTATGAGAGGCACAAAAAAAGACATCACCAAAATACAAAAGCAGCCACAGAAATATTAAAAATGTTGTATCTGGTTTCAGCTGCGTTAATTCCCAACCATCCCAGGCAAGCAAGCTTCTCCTGCTTTAAGTGTAGTTTACATTGAGCCTCCCTTTGTTAATCTCCTACCCTCCCAGAGTACCTGACCTAGTCTGTGCTGCAGGACTTGTATTTGAAGGATAAACAATGAGCAGCCATCATTAGAGGTTAAATAGACTGAAGCTGCCAGCACACATTCAGGGGGAGTTTGATAGAAAGCTAAAGAACAGTTATGGAGACGGGACTGTAGTGTGTCCAATAAGCAGTTATGGGGGAGTGAACTGCTTTCTTCTAAATGAAAATGCATTTTCATTTGTTCCATAGCATAAATACTTTTATAGAATGATATTCAAAAGGGAAAGGCAACTTTAAAAAAACCAAAACAAAACACAAACATACCAAACACACCAAAAAAACTGTGAAGCAAATTACGCTTCTTAAAATCTCTTTCCTTTCTAAATTTGCCCATTCCAGGATGTGGAATCCCACCATTCCCTATGGAGTTCTTGAACACCTTCAGCAGCTGGACTCTAGGATCAGTGTGTAGATTCAGATGATTGCATAAAGGTAACATAAACCCTGGCTCCCTGAAACAGCAAGATTTGTTTTTGTGGCGGCTGTTGATCCTGGTCTCACTGGCAGCAGGCACAGTAACAGTATCAACGCATGCATGGCTAAGTAAAGAGATGCTGCCCTAGAGTGGCACAGATCAATATCACATCAGGCCCCCTTTCCCCCCGCTCGCTTTGCATCCCCCATCTCCCTGGCACTAGCAGACTGCAAGAGCTGCATCAACAAGAATGGACTTCTAGGACTCCTGGTCCAGCCCGGTTCAGTGACTGGCAGCTGGCCTGCTTACCTTCTCTTTTCTGTTGCGGAAGACTAAATAGCTCTGTGTACTTCTCATGCTTAATAGATGAGTTCTGTACTCCTTATTGTGTTGATTTTTAGTAAGTTCTTTCACTTTTCCATTTTTTAACACAAATCCTCAACAGCTGCTTGTCTCGCTATGAAGCTGTGCCTATACTGTACTCAGAGCAAACCATTTGTTCCTACGTTCCTTGTTCTCAGTCTGTTTTGTGCGGTTTAGACACTGGCAGCCACTTTCACTTCATTGATTCTGCCTGCAGATTCAAGGATCCTTGAAATAATTGCATCATTAGCAATTTGTTAACAGTTTGCTGATGATCACCAGGATCTGACTGCCTTGACACTCCTGGACTGAAGAAGCTGCAGCAGGCACAGGAAGTCAGGGTTTTGTATAGGATTTCTGCTCCCAATTTTCTGCCATGTGCTTCCTCTTGCTTTTAAAAAAAATTCCACAGGATGCATCAGTGAAATGATCCCAGTGAAGAATGAGAAGCCCAAATCAAGCCAGACACTAGATGCCCTCCAGCTTTCTTTCAGATGGCAAAAAACACATTGCAGAGTGATCGCCAGCTGCTTGAGCTGTGGTTTGAATGGTCCTGGCAATGGCTGCAGTTGCCAATGGCTCCCTAAACCATGCAGTGAGCCAAGCTTTTGCATGACCTTTGCTCTCAGTGCACTGATCACCAGATGTAGACTTGGCTATATATATATGGCACTGATCAGGCTACAGGTTGTGGAAGACTCGGGTGCCATACCAGCTTCACAGACTAGCTTTATACAGCAACAGTGAAAAATTGTACTGATCCTTAATAGACTACAGTACAACTAACTCTGTCTTGTTGAATAACCATACCTACTTGGGAAAGAAGACATTAGGGGTGTGAACACTGCCAGGAAACCTTACAAAAGCAAAGCTTTCTCTAACCTCCTGTGTCTGTCATTCAAGGGGAGCATGCGATAAGAATCTCTGAACATGCAGGTCAGCTCCCAAATGACTTCGGTTTTTCTCTGGACCCAGAGCAATGGCAGTCAGTGGTAGAGAGTTCCGCTCTGTGCAAGTCAGTGATTCTTGGCCACTGGTCAGTTTTCAAAAGATGTGTTTAACACAGCTCTGCATAAACAGCCCCTTGCATCTCCCTCCACTGCTGTTCTTTCATGTTTGCAGCACGTGCCTGTGGCACCGGTTACCACGTTAGTATAGTATCTGAGTATGTGAGGAAACTTTCTTCGTCATTAGCACTGAGGATTAGTAGCAGCAGGAAGTCTGGATCCTCCCAGACTTGAAACATCCAGCATCTACCAGTCACTGTTGTCTGTTTTCAGAGCGTATCAAATACATGGTTTTGGTGATGTTAATGGTGATTAAGCTGATGGGCATACATCTAATAGTCTCTTTTTCATCATTTCACAGGTAACATAAAGAAGAGGGGAAGGTTTTCCTATCTTCTTGCTGCTTTATGAATCGGTGGCTGATTTTCATGATAGTGGCAAAATGAAAAAAAAAGTCACATCTAAGCTTCTGGGTGATGCTTGAAGTGGTTGAATGATGGAGTTCAAATTTTTTGAAGGTAATTTAAAATGCTATTCAAAGACCCAGTTGTGTTTCTACTGAAGTGATGAAGAGTTAAGCAACAACAAGTTTCAAAGATGAAAAGAGCATCTGGATATTGTGATCACCATTAAAGGTGACCAGGAATCACTGGGATATTGATAGTATAAAATTCCATCATCAATTCATCAAAGACTAGACTGCAAGCTGCTGGACCTGCAACATCTGAAGTAGTGACAGATCAAATCTAATTGTTTCACAGTGCCAGTGGTAACTGTGATCAAATTCAGTTTGAAGATTTTGGACTTCCAAAGCTCAATGATACAGATTTCACCTGTCTGTCTGAACTGGTTTGAAGCTTTAGGGTCAGGAGCGTAAATAAGAATGATCAGTCTTAGAAAACAGTCTGATATTGTAAGATTATCCACGAGAATCTAGAAGTGGTTCTTTTCTTGATGCTAATCACCAATGCTGTCCTAAGGGATAGAAAGATATTTTCTATCACTCTCTTGTTATAGAATCTTTCAAAAAGATTAGGAAAAAAAGAAAGAAGTAAAGAGAAGAAATGAATTAAAACTGGAAAACTATTAAGGATTCTTCTGATGTTATCCCAGAAATCCAAATGCATACAAATAGCTTCAGTTTATTGCACAAAAATCCTCAAAGTGACAATCTTCAAAGGTTTTTACTCTGTCTCAACTGAGAACTTTAATTTTTTTTTTTCTTTGTTCATACACCTGGATTGGGATTTAGTTTCTCACTTGCAGGTGGCAGCATAAATGTACAAGTATCTATTTTATACTTGACAGTGAAATCACTACTGTGTGTGAGTTTTGTAGCCTTCTTTTACAGTTATGAATAACTAGGCAATGACAGACAACATATTTCAAAGCGTTATCGTGTGTCTGTGCTGCTGGCCTCAGTGATATGTGGGCCAAATACCAGTCCTGCTGACTGCAATAGCAAAATAATTGTCTCCTTTTTTTCTTTTTTCTTTTCTCTTTTTTTTTTTCTTCTATTTCAGCTCTGTGAACATGGAGAGAACTTATAATTGTAGCGAGACAATTGTCAGGACTAGAATTCTGGCTCCCTGTCCAGATACAGTCTGGAGACAGAAAAACAAAAAGGGATGGAAAAAGCTTGGAATATTCGATATGCCACAAATTGGGAAGGGAGGTTTCTACTTCACGGTTAGCTCAGGGTTAGCTTAACAACCTCCTTGAAATCTCCTCTGCTAGGAAACACTGACAATACTGACCCAAGGTTCTATGCAAACTAGAATCTCTCAACTAACCTCTCAAATACTCTGTTACTTGGTTTTAAAAAAGTCCTCAATTTAAACAGTTCAAAACCCCAATCTTTATGTTCTTTCCAGCAAATGATACTTCTCTGCTAAAGTTTCAGTGCCTGCAGAATCTTGACAGCAGGGATGGAGGGTTGACAAATTAAAGAAAGAAGGAAGGAAGGAAGGTCTGGTTTGTTGTTTCTGTTAATCAAAGGAGAGCTGGGAACCACACCTAGTACGCGACGGTAATAGTACAAGAGAGCAAGGTGGAAAAACTCTACGGAGAATATGATTGTAACTAGAAAGTGGTATTTTTCTTAACTATCTGCATGGTTCTTCTCTCTAGACAGTCATGGAAAAAAATCTCATTTACATTCCCCTCTTTCAGCTGCTTGTATGGGAGGTAGTTTGAGCCAAATCTTGTGTGATGTTCCCATCAGCCTGTGGCACTGATCTGCACATGCAGATCTATGGTGAGCCCTTGTCTTGGCTTCCCTTAACTAAGCTTTGGATAACAAATGCCCCTTTAGGGATACATTCTGCAGCTACACTTCACTGTGACTGGATCTGAGAATGTGCTAAATATTACACAGGCAGCCAAGTGTTACAGGACCCTGTCTGCACTGATGAAATCATGTTGAGTATACTGCTGTTCTCTTTCTATGAGTTAGTGGGAGATGTATGTTTATAATGTACAGATTGTAAATTGTGATGCACTGTTTTCATTGTCTTTATACATCTTTTTAAAGTATTAATAAAAGTGAGTATTCCTTTTTACAGTAGCTTGCAGTACCTGTTGAAAATTATTTTGATTTTTCTCTTGGAAACGCTATGAAACCACTGCTGGCTTCTGAACATAATGGCATGCTCCGGGCTTCATATTGTAGGTTAATGGAAAGCACTGTGTGCGAGGGAGACAGGTTGGTCCTGCTGGCACTTACCAGTTCAGTGGTCTGGAAATGGAGAAATAATTCTTTCTTAACAGGCAATGGGATCTTGCAATGCCAACTGACAGACTGTAAGTCCAGAATTAGAAGATATAAAAGTGCTGACTGAAGCCGCCTGCTAGTAACAGCAAAAGGTTGTTTTCATCCTTTCAGACTTTTTGCAGTTAAAAGTTCAAAAATTAATCAAGTTTCAAAGTCTGGATATTCTTGTGGCACAAAGCTTATCCAAAATGCTGTCGTCAAATGAGTGCCTTGTGTGTAGAGGACTGAATTCACTGGCTACCCTAAAAAAGCTGTTCTGATCAAATCTGTATTCTAAAAATCTTTTAGGATGAGAAAAATGCTACTCTCTTTATGCCCATGCTCTTTTTGTTGTCAAAGAAGCCTTGTTAAAATGCTAAGGCTTGTGTTACGATGGTAGTCAGACCCTGTAATCTGGGTACTCTCCCCATCCTTTAAACATATGAAGCTGAGCTGTTCTGAGAAATCAGAAATCTTGATCTAAGATTCAGAATCTCCACAGTGAATTACTTGGTGGAATTTGTATTGCTTGATCCGTGCATCATGTGGCACAAACCCACTGCAGCGAAATGATTACAAGCTAGTAGATACTGCAGTAAGTACCTATAATGACAAACTGAACCGTGTTCTTAAAATGGCATACATGTGCCCCTGAAAAATTAGTGTAAGCCGTCTCTGTGAACAGTATGAATTCCTAATTATATAGGCAGCAGGAATGCCGCCTTCAGTAGCAAAATTCATCCTTTCTTGTGTTAGTACCAAATGGCATGTGAACACAAGCTTCACAAGTTTAAAAACTTGGCTATTCTTTATATCGGTGCCTAAATGGGGATTTAGTTCCCTAAATGTATCTTTACGTGTTACAATATGGTGTC